TTGGCTGAGCCTGATTGCTAAACATAGTCACAATTGGGCTTGCTGACGGTTCTGCTCATACATTAAAGGAGTGCCAAGGAGGGTCACTGGACCCTCACCTGAGTATCCAGCCACTCTTCCCAGCCAACTAGTCCAGTCTTGGAAGGCAAAAAAATGAGGAAGAACCCAATAGAGGTATGCTTTTGGAAGCCCTTGTCAAGAAACTCCAATGGACTTTCATATGAACATTTGAAAATTGCCCTGTTCTGACTTTTTTCTAGTTCCCTGTCTTGAGCTTGTAATGCTAATTACTCTTGCTCCCATTTCTCCTTCACATCTCCTATTCATGATTCAAGGACTTTCTTCTTCCCTTAGAGACAAGAGTTATGCAATTTGGGAGTCTTTTAGATAGACCCACTGGGGGGTACTCCAATTGACTCACCCTGCGTCCCTGTTCAGCATGAAAAAAACCAGAGGAGTCTACATCCCTATTCCCTATTGGCAATTTGGGTAACCCCTTCAGCAGATGGTATGATGAGAATAGGAAGTGGGTAAAAAGACCCCAAAGAAAAGTAGCCAGTTTCTTGGCTAAAACTCACAATGTCCTTGGGCCTCTTAGCAACATACTCTGTTCCAAAGGCCAAAAATGTCAAAAATATTTGGGAGCTTTTATCTAATCCTTAAAAGATTTTAGGGTTACCTCTTCAGAGGGGGGAATGTTAGAGTAGCCAAAAGCCCCATAATAAATAAATAAATAAATAAATAAAATCAGAAGAAAGAGTACATGAAGTTATCAGAAAAAAGTGATCAGGAGATATGGGAGGAGTTGGGGGGTGTGGGCATGGATTTGATCAAAACACCTTACATGCATTATGAAATTCTCAGTAATTTATTTATTAAAAAACACCTATACATCTTTAGTGGGAATGTACACAGGCACAGCTACTATGGAAATCACTATGGAGATGCTCAAAAATTAAAATAGAGTTATCTTGTATTCAGCTATACCTCAGTGGATACATTTGTTAGGAAACTAAGTCAACATACAAAGGAGATAACTGCATGTTCATGTTTATTCTTAGTCTAGTTACAATAGCTGAGGTGTGGAGCCAACAGGGAAATGGATAAGGTAAACATGGTACATACACAATGGGGGAATGTGAGTCAGATGTAAGGAAGGAAGAATGGATCAGGTCATTTGCAGGAAATGGAATAGAACTGAAGATTTTTACAAAAGTATTGCAGCGAATCCCATGATTTTGTACAAACACTGTGTTAATAACTATATTAAAGTAAATTCTCTCTGTGTCTAGAGTCTAAACGGAAAAGTCATTAAGTGACAATTTCATCTCCTTTGAAACTTTGCTTCTATTATAGATTTCAAGCCTCCTTTCCTTCTCAGCACTGTTTTGTGTCTCACAGGATGGATTCAGTTCCCTGGAACTTCTGGTACTCACCTCTTTCACATCCCAGGTAGAAAGTGTGCCCTTGTCAGACACTGTGCAGAGGATCGACTTCCCTTGTCCATCCATGGTGAGGCCACTTCCTGAGAGATACTCCAGAAGTCTAAAGTCTCCTGCAAGGAAACCCCAACAATACATGGCCACTAGATAGTTGAGGGATGATTCAAACAAAGTAAAGGTTTTTGTTTTCAATCTTTCATGTCCCCTTGTAGAAGGATTTGGATAACAACTGTGGACAGGATGGAGAAAGAGTCAGCCAAGCAAGCTGCCAAGTTGGCCATGTGGCCAGATATTATTTTTCCCTTTGAATCTGATTCTCTATCTATGAAATAAATATAAAAGGTTGGGGATGATGCTGTGTGGATTCAAGAGCTTGTCTAACATGAGGCCCTAGGTTTGATTCTTAGTACCCCATAAAGTTGCCAACTAGTGAATAGAAGGCCAGTCTGGGATACATGAAACCCCTCCTTTAAAAATAGATTATTACAGAGTTCCACAACTTGTCATACACAGAGACTGTGAGTTGCCCAAACCTACGAGGTACATCTATGATGCAACCTCTACACCTAAGGCTCATGGAATATAGAGCAAGGGATAAAGAGAACACTGATGCATCTTTCAATTCTCATCAATGAATCTCCCTCATGCAACAGAGGGCTTAGAAACATAGAGGGTCACATATGGCCAAAGTGTGGAAAGTAAGAGTCTTCAGAGTGTTGGTCCTTGGACAGGACTCCTATATTAAACTCCACCCACCCAGGGCTCAGGGACCACTGCAGAAGAGGGGGTAGAAAGATATAAGAGCCAGGGAGGAGGTACATGACCATATGCAAATAGAGTCCTACAGGCTCCTGGGACTTTTCTCATATGAACCTGCAGCAATGGTGTCAATATGCGTAAGACTGATGCAAACTCAAGCAGACAAAAACCCAGCACAGAACTGTGAAAATGAACAGCAGGCCCCAATCTTAGTTGAAAAATTATTGGCAGCTGATTACTGCTGGGTGAGGAAAAGCTGATCTTCTTAAAGGGAGGGACCCTAGATAGGCTGCCTAGACTTTAGTGGATGAACTTGCACTGAGGGATGTCTGGGGATACTAAATTGACATGATAGACCTTAACACAAATGACAGACTATATGAACTCCAGTGTGGGGGGGAGCTATGGGTGGGTGCCAATGGAGAAGAGGGTGTAAAGTTGCTTAAGATTTTCTGTATGAAATTATCAAAAATTCAATAAAAAATAAAAAATAAAAAAATCACTAAAAAAGGGAGGGGTTGTTGGAGAAATGGCTCAGTGGTTAAGAGCACTGGCTGTTCTTGCAGAAAACATGGGTTCAAATCCCAGTACCCACATGGTGACTAGCCATCCATAGCTCCAGTTCCAGGGGATCTGACACCCTCTTCTGTCCTCCTTGGGTAATGCATGACATGGGTGCACATAACACACATATAGGTATAACACTCATACACATGAAATAAAAATAAGCAAAAAAAATAAAAATAAAATAAAGGATATAAGAATCTCTCCATCGGGATAACAGATTCTACAAAGTTGTCCCCTGACTCTCACATGCATGCAGTGGCACACTTGTGTGTATACATACAAACACACTCACCTCACACTAGTAATGATGATCACAATGATGATGATGATGATGATGAAAATAACTTTTAGAAAAGAATATCTCCTTCAGAAAACTGTACTAAGTCAGGTGTGGTGGCACATGCCTTTAATCCCAGCACTCAGGAGGTAGAGGTGTGTGGATCTTTGTAAGACCAAGGCCAGCCTGATCTACACTGCCAGTTCTAAGGCAGCTGGGGCTACAGGGAGACCTTGTCTCAAAAAAGACCAAAAAAAGAGAAACTGTACTAAGCATTAAGAGAGCTTTTGGGATAAATAGGAAAACATATACAATTTAAGAATTTCCACAATTAATTCTCACCATGATTTTATTTAGGAGTGGTTGGGAAGCCTTAGGGAAAGGGAGAAACAGGCCTGATTTTATGCTGTAATGTGATATCTGACTTCTCCGATCATCAGATCACAGAGGAGAATCAGGACTGGTTCTGTGGCTGCCACAAAACCCAGACCTTTAAATTTTAATGCCTTATCTCTTCATTAAATGAGAACACAGGACTGCATATAAGTAGAAATTCAAGTGGGCATCTGCTAGACCACCCTGTCTCCATACCCAAGTCCCCAGGTATTTCTCTGTAGACGAAGTCTTCTGGCCGAGCCCATTCCATGCAGCGTTCTTGTCTTGTTCGGTGGAGGAAGAACTGCTTCCAGGTCTGCGTGCCCAGCTGCTGCCACAGCTGTGTGCACAGGTGTTCCTGGGTGTCGTCATTGAAGCACCATTTCCTCAGACATAGCCTCCTGCAAGGAAGAGTCACAGTCCCATCAGGCTGACCTGTCAGTTCACCTCCTCGTCAGTTCACTCTCAGCCACTGTTGGCAAGAAGCTTTCCTCACACTGACCTTCCCGGGTGCATCCCCCACACCACAGGTGCAGGTGCACAATGAGATGGCCCGCCCTGCCCTTCCCTCCTCACCCTGCCCCTTTCCTTACCTCCACAGGCTCTCCCTGTCTGCGACCACATTCCAGCTCTATGGGAGAGAAAGAGTCAAGCCAGCAAGCAATACTCAAAACGGGCTTCTCCCTGCTCTCAGTTGTTCTGGGCTGGACCAACAGGTTCATCAAATACAACCCCAGCTCTCAAGACCCAGCTAGCCTGAGAGACCTATTCCTGCTTATGCAGGGAAGCTGCCATCCTGTGAGAGCTCAGAGGAAGGAGGGCTGGTTTCCAAAGGCTTGAAATGGGAACCTCGAGGAGAATTTAGGCAACACAATTTACATCTATCATCTTGTCATTTTCACTTAATTTTGCTGTTGTTATTTTTACTGTTTTGAGATAGGATCTTGTGTAGCACAGGCTGGGCTCAATCTGTCCAGGTAATTGAGTATGACCTTGCAGTACTGATCCTCTTGCTTCCACCTTCCACATACTTTGATTACGGCTGTGCAGCACCACACTCGTTCCATAGAATTTGATGCTGTCAGTGTGATTGCTGCTAATCCATAAACACTGTATGAATCACTTTGCTACTCTGCATATTGGTGTTCTCCTTGGTCAAGAAAAGGCACTGGAGCCCAGAGATGCTAGTGTGTGTGTGCTGGGTTTGTATAGGCCTGAATAAGGTAAATGTAGGCAGGGATGAAGGAAGGCTGTGTGGTGTGAGGCTGGGGGAGCCGAGACTCCACAGCTAAGGGTGAAAGGCCCAAAGGGGCCTCATGTAGGAACGTACAAGTGGAGTGCCGGCAAGGAGCTGGTCAATTAGACAGCAGGGGATCTTGAGAGTCTTTACCTTGTTCACTTGGGCAGCCTGGAGCAAGCTGAAGCCGTCCAGATAGCTGAAGATTTCTGCCAGGGGCACTGCAGGCAAATGGATCTCCATCTCATCTGGCTGAGCACACGTTCAGTCTCCTTTCTCTCCTCCAGCTTGCTCTGAACTTAAAGGCTTGGCCAATGAGGGCAGCGTTTGGGGGGATTTCCACCCTCAGCCCATCAGGCTCTGACTGAAACAAGCCTCAGGTGGGCAGACTCTCAGCCTGACCTCCACTTGCCTCTTTCCTGGACCAGATGCACACAGCTGAGGCTGCCCCACAGTGCTGTTCATCAGGGAGACAGCCCAAGAACAGCTTCCTGACACTGGGAACCAGAAGTGCGTGACCTGGAACATCCCAAGTGGCTGATATAGAAAATATCAAGTAACACATTCACCTTCCACAGGTGCTATTGCTCATGTGAAACCCATTAAGTTGCTCCAGATTCCTGGTGTGGGGAATCTGCTTGCCATGGTGATATGTCCACTTTGAGAACTATACTGGCTCAGCAGGGCCATCTATCATTGAGGACACAGCCTCTGGGTTTCTGCATTTATGCATTTAGCTTTTTAGTAGACGGGAAAAACTGACAGGTCTAGGGACATGGCTCTGTAAGGTGCCCACCATGCAAGATGGGGACCTGAGTTGAGATCCCCAGCACCATGTAAAAACTGAGCACAGGGATGTATGCCTGTAACACTGGCACTGGTGAGGCAGAGACAGGGAATCCTTGGAGTTTGTCATCTAGGTAGTCTAGCCAGTCAGTTAGCTCCAAGCTCAGTGAGAGAGGCTCTGAGTCAATAAAAAGAACATGGAAAGTGGAGGAAGACACCTGACATCTACCACTGGCCTCTGCACAGGCACACATGCAGCCACACACACACACACACACACACACACACAGAAAGAGAGAGAGAGAGAAAGCTGACAGACATAATTATAGTTGTCTAATCTAAGGGAGGGGTCTGGTCTGAGATGCCTTTACAGTCAGTTCCTGCTGTTCCTGAGATGTAATGGTTTCCTAGTGTTACAAATCTCCCACAAACTTGACAGTGCATTCCAGTGTATCTTACAGAGTGTCATTGAATGAATGTTTGGATCCCTTCTAACATTCATGTGTTGGAATTCTAACCACACATACCTGTATCAAAATGTCATAAATATACGTGTTTTATGTTAGATTAAAAAAAAATTGTTTTCTTTCTTGAGGAAGGGTCTTGTGTAACCCATGCTGGCCTCAATCTTGTTGTGTAGTTGAGGCTGGCCTGAAACTCCTGATCCTCTTGTTTCCACCTTCTGAATGAGTACTAGATGTGTGCCACCCACCATGCCTGGGTCTTGTTTGTTTTTCACAGTGTCTTACACTGTAGCTCTGGAGGCCTGGTACTCATCATGTAGCCTGGGCTGGCTTCAAACTCTCAGCAATCCTCCTCCCTTAGCCTCCTGAGTGTTTGGACTCTTGACTTGAGTATATACACCTGTGATTTAAACGTTCAAAAAAGGGATAGGGAGATCGCTCAGCAGGTACAGTTGCCTGTTGCCAAGCCCGACGACCTGAGCTGATTCCTGGAAACCACATAATAGAACAAGAAAACTGACTCCCACAAGTGGTTATTGGACCGCCACACATGCAGAATGGTATGTTTGCCACTCATACCATTCCCAAAATAAAAATAAATAAATAAAATAGATACACTAGAAAGGATGATGAGCAGGACTCAGTGGATCTAAAGAAAGGAAAGTGAGGGAGAAAGAAGCAAACAAATTCACACCCTCATAACCCAAACCATATGATTGGGGATCAAGGGCTTTAGGCCATAAGAAGCTCTCTGCAACAGGATCAGCGCCTTATACACTAGACCCCCAAGAGTTCTATTTATACCATATGAGGAAATGAGATGTTAGTAGTCTGCAACCCAGAAGAGGACCTTTCCCAGCATCCATGCTGGTACCATCTTCTCAGGCTTCTGGCCTCCAAGAATAATGAGAAAGAAATTCTGTGATCACCCAATTTTCTGGACTCTGTTCCAACAGCTCGAACTAAGTCTGGGTTCCTCTGTGAGACTCCATAATGATGCCAAAGTCAGAGGGATTTTGCCCTACACCAGGAAGCGGGGAATGGTGAAGGGTCTAAGTAGATACGCTTTGCTGGGTTTCCCCACCACCCAGTCTGTGAGCAGCCATGCTGTGCAATGAAGTTTCCACGAGAAAAGGAGAGCTGGACAGCCTAACCCCTGGCGGTCCTGTGCCCAGGGAGGACATGGAAGCTCTGGATCCCTTCCCCATACCTCGCCCTATGCATCTCTTCACCTGCATTTGTTATGATAGTCTTTTTTAATTAGTACTGGGACTTGAACCCAGGCTGCACTAGGAAAGCACTCTGCCACAGGTGTACATCTTCACTCTTTAGTTTTTATTTTTTTGAGACAGGGTCTCACTAAGTGGCCCTCGCCTTGAGCTCACTACTCCAGGCATGCCTTGGATTCCTGATCCTACTGCCTTTACCTCCCAGGTGCTGGGATCACAGGTGTGCACCGCATGCCTCATTTATGCCATACTGGGGATCAAACCACGGCTCCATGTGTGTTAGGAAAGCATGGAACCACATCCCCAGACTCAGAAAGTTGCTTAAAGAAAGGCACAAAGTAGAAACATCCTTTTCAAAGAGAGTCTTCCTTGTGTCTTTCATCTGAGTAATTCTAGCTCTTTCTCCATGATGACTCTCTGATGGTCATCATTTTACTAATTATGAAATGGAAATTAAATTAGAAAAATTAAATTATAAAATTAAAATAAAATCTGTTTTTGGTTTACCTAGTTGAAGTGAATAAACGACCTCCTAACTTTCACTACCTTTAATATAAACAAAAATTTCATATTAGAATTTGTGTGTGCACATGTGTGTGCGTGTACATTGAGGTCATAGGTTGACCTCTGCTGTCTTCCTCAATCACCTTATTTTAAACTCAGTTTAATTTTTTACAGCTTATTTTTATTTACTTATTTTTATTTTATGTGTATGAGTGTTTTGCCTGCATGTATGTAAGTGCACCCATGTGTGCAATGCCTGCAGAGGTCAGAAGAGGGTGCAGGCTCCTCTGGAAGTGGGCATATGGTTGCTAGCCTCTATGTGGGTGCTGGGAATGGGACCCAGGTTCTCTGCAAGAGTAGCTAGTTTCTCAACTGCTAAGTCATTTCTCCAGCCCCTTCACCTTATATTTTTATTTATTTATTCATTTTAAAAGGGATGTGGGGTACATACAATAGATCTGAATAACACATTTTGAAAATAATTTTTGAACATGTCTGAGAATCTGTGTTTTTATTTTAATTTTTATTTTATGTGTATAAGTGTATTGCCTGCATGTGTGCAAGTGCACCTGTGTCTTTCAGCGCCCTTGGAGGACAGAAGGTGGTGTCAGATTCCCTGGAACTGGAGTTATGGATGGTTGTTAGTGGTCATGTGGGTGCTGGGAATTGAACTTGGGTCCTCTGCAACAACAGTTAGTGCCCTTAACCACTGAGCCATCTCTCCAGCCCTTCACCTTATTTTTTAATTATTTGTGCATGTTGGGGTGGAGAACCATGGATGCCACCTTACACATGAGTAGGTCAGAGGACAATTTATTGGAGTAGGTTCTCTCCTTTCAAAATGTGGGTCCTGAGGATCCATCTCAGATCATCAGGCTTGGCAGCAAACACCTTCACCCGCTAAGCCACCTTGATGGCCCTCCATCTTACTTTTCCTTTTTTAATATACAGAAATATTTTTAAAATTTTCTTATTTTACTAATTAAATTCTCCCTCAGACAATTGCACACATGCACACAGTACACACTGACCACTCTCACTCCCATCCTCTCCCTCTCCACAATCTTTCTCTCACATTATATATATTCATTTTGTTTTGTGACCCACTGAGTTTAACCAGGGCTGTCTGTGTGACTGTGGGTTTGGAGCTATTTGTTGGAGCCTGGTCAGCTGAGCAGTGGGTACGCAACTAAAGACAGAGACTCCCCCTCTCCCAGAACCTATCATTAGCCAATAGTTCAGTGGTAAAAGGGTAGAGCCCCAGGAGACACTCCCTCTTCCATAACTGGTTGGCAGGACCAGTTATGTGTGGGACCATGCAAGTAACCACAGCTGCTGTGAGTTATGACTGCAATAGCTGCACGCAGTTAGAGGATGGTGTGTCACAGCCCTTCACCCCATCTTCCAGCTCTTACACACTTCCCATCCCTCTTCTCTAATGTTCCCTGAGCCTTAGAGGGGAGGTGTAAATTCCTGTTTAGTGATGAGCCCACAACCGTCACTTATTCTCAGCATCTTGGGCAGCCTTGAGTCTCTGCACTCACCCTTTCATGGTAAGGAGAGGCTTCTCTGATTAAGGCTGAGAGCAGCTGTTGTCTGTGGGTGGAAGCATAGAGATTTAGATGGCAGATTGATGCTATGTCAATTCAGTTAAAGAAGAGCAACAAGTTCCCCACCTGGGCCTATGACTGCCCCAGACCTGGGTTGCTACTGGGGTACAGTACTAGGCATGGTTCCCCCTCCCACCTCTCCATCCAACCCTCATGGTGTGGGCCTAAATCTCAATCAGAAGTCATTTGGTTATTCACACATTAGTCAAGGCACTATTACAAGTGGGCATATCTTGTCCAGCAGGTTGAAATTCTGGTTCCTAAGGTTCACAGCTGGGCAACACCAATGATGCCTTTGGCTCACAGTTGGGCAAGAACAATGATGCCTTCCCTTCCCCCAGCAGCTTGCTCTGCTCCCTTTGGTGGTTTGAATACTGGCCAGCAGGGAGGAAGTTTCTAGCTCAGGTCCATCTGGCTTTCTCTATGTCTTACAACCAAGGTGTGTGGTGTCTTGCAATATGGTCTTATCCCCTGGTTCGGGTGAGCAACTAAGAGGACTGACAAGAGCCTGTGTGGTTTCAGGGGTTTCTGGTGCTTCCCTGACCAAATCCTACAATATCTCACTCCTGGGACTGGGGACTGTGGTTAGTAACCCATTGCTTCCAGGAGCAGTGCCATCTGTACATGCAGGGCATTTCCCTTCCATCCATCTTGTATTTTTATTTGGTTGTAAGACAGCAGCTCTTTATACTTTTTACACTGGCTTCTTTACACTTTTTGTATTGCTTATCCACCAGTCCCTTCCCAGACCTTTGTCTCCCCAGTCCCCTCACCCCCCTCTTTCAGGGCTTAAACCTTTCCATTCACAGTGTTCCCCTTCTTTACTTTCCTTTTACCTCTGCTCTACTACCCTTGCTTATTTAAACAACTGTCTCCCTCCTGCATGTCCCCTCCCTAGATTCCTGGCTTCTACAGTTACTCCACGTTAAATAGAACTAAAAGTCTGAGCTAGGACCCACACACGAGAACATGTTGCATTTGTACTTCTGGGCCAGGGTTACCTCACTCAGAATAATTTTTCCTAGTTCCATCTATTTTCTTGAAATTTTTATAATTTCATTTTTCTTTATATCTCAATACAATTCCATTGTGTAAATGCATCACATGTTCATTATTCTTTCATTAGTTGATGGACAGCTAGGCTGCTTTTTTTTTTCTTTATAAAAACTATTGCCAGGCATGGTGGCATATGCCTTTAATCCTAGCACTCGGGAGGCAGAGGCAGGCAGATCTCTGTGAGTTTGAGGACAGCCTGGTCTCCATAGCAAACCCAGGCTAGCTGTGGCTACAGGGAGAGCGTGTCTCAAAAAGACCAAAAAAAAAAAAGTATCAAGTTTATTTCAATATTTAGTTTCATTTTTAAAATTAAAACCATTGGACAATCACTCTAATTAAAATTCATTACCAGAAGTGCAGAAAACATTAATAAGCAATTAAATATTGCAACGTCATTTTACCACTGAAAAGTCCTTTAGCTTTGTACTTTTAATTGCCATTTTATCCAGTTCTTAAAATCACTATTATACCCAGCAAAATTTTTCAAAAATTTGAGGCTTTCTTTATCAGTAATGAAGTATGACTTCACAAATCTGAAATTTTAATTTTCTTTTTGAATCTTTGTGAATAAAAATTAACCAGACATCACTACCATATTAGATAAAAACAAAAGTAGTATTTACATAAACAGCAAATAACTGATAAGACATTTAACTATTCCACAGTTCTAGTCAGTGTAAGAAACTGATTTCATGGTACTAACAGTGCTTGGCATGACACAGCAAGCTTTAGGTCATGTTACTCTTCCTAACTCCGCTATGAAAATGGCAGTTTTCAGAAGTACAAAAATTAGCCTATCCAGTAGGTGGTATTCTACACGGTCAAGATAATGAGAATTCATTATAAAATTAGGTTTAAAAATGCAGAATGTCGGGACTGGAGAGATGGCTCAGTGGTTAAGAGCACTGACTGCTCTTGCAGAGGACCCGGATTCGATTCCCAGCACCCACTTGGTGGCTACAAACCGTCCTTAACTCAAGTTCCAGGGGAATCTGAAGCCCTCTCTGACCTCTGCGGCATTGCATGATATGGGTGCACTCACATACATGTAGGCAATACACTCATACACATAAAATAAAAAAATAACTTTTTTTGTCTTTTTGAGACAGGGTCTCCTTGTAGCCCCAGCTGTCCTGGAACTCACTATGTAGACCAGGCTGGCCTTGAACTCACAAAGATCCACCTGCCTCTGCCTCCCAAGTGCTGGGATGACAGGCATGTGCCACCACGCCCGGCAAAATAATAAAATATTTTTAAAAAGGCAGAACGTCTTTATAATTGCCGGTTGTCTCAAAGGCTAAAGAAAAATGCAAGTAGGCATATTAATATTTCCTTTGAGAAAGTAAGAAATGCTTTATTTCAAGAAATAAGCAATGGGTTTTAAATTGTGATTAATATATCTCTTAAATTAAGGTAAAAATTTCACCTCAGAGGATAATTCTTTTATATTCTTAGTACCCTCTGTCCAGATTTGAACCCATCTCAAACCACCATTTGAATAGGATTCATAACCGAAAGCCATTTTTCTCCACAGGATGTTTTCCACTTGAGCACTTAAGCTCCAAAATGGTGAACAACTATCAGTGATGTTCTTACTAAAGGTTGAACATACAAAAATGCTTACTTTTCAAGTTTTAGAGTTTTGACATGATACCTTTCGGCATGTCTAAACACAAAATTCATTTATATTTCATATAGCTTGAAAGTCATTTCATGTATTTTTAGTACACCTGTGTTTTGACTGCAACCCATCACAGGCTCAGTGTGGAATTTCCCACCCGGCTTGCGTCTGCACACAGGGATCAGATTTTGCAGCACTAAGGGTTTTGAATTTGGGGATGTTCCACCTGTATAATAAATGCTAATTTATAATGTCTGACAGTAGATACCAAAAACCTTCTATTTCCAAGCCTAAAATTGCTACAGTACTGAGATCAGGACATGATTTTTCTACAGGGTCAGATTTAAATTACTAACTATACTATCGTGAAATCAAATGAAACCCTAGTTGAGTCCTTCCAAAGCGGCATAATTTTCCAAATGATTTCTCTCTAGTTGCAGAGCCAGTTTGTTCGTTCCTTCAATCCTTTTTTGGTCGTTTAGCTTTTGCAATATTTTCTTGACATTTTTGTTTCTTCTTTTGCTCTTTCTCCTGGCTTCAGTCATCTTGGCCAACTTCTAGGACAGAACAAAATAACTGTTGTAAGGAAGCCATATGGATCCTTTGCAGCCCATTCCACAACATACTCAGCCCAAGCCTTTATGTCAAGCATCTATTGTGCTTAAGTTGTGCTATTTTTTTTTTTCCTGGGATTATCAGTGAGCCAATCACAATTTCAGATGACCCTTGGTTGTCTTCTCCTTTAGTTCTATCATATACTTCTGAGAGGTTTAAATTCTGGTGTGTGGCAGAGTTCTTATCCACAGGCCACACATCTTGCGTGCACCTCAGTCCCAGACACTTGGCCTCTCACACTTAGGAGCAGTAACATTGTTCCACTGCAAGCCGGGGTAGCTCGCAGCGGGTTGCTTCCGCCAGCCTGTCTTGGACTCTCCCTCCTACCTCAGGCCCGGGGCTCACTCCCTTCCTGCCTTCATTTTTATTTTTTGGGAAATTTCCAGGCTGATTTCCAAACTTCAACCTTAGTTTTTGAGAGGATCGCATACTGACCTGAGCTTGCCAGTTTGGCAGCTTGAGTCCCAGGCATCCTTCTGTCTGCTTCTCCCCAGCACTGGGATTATAGGCATGTGCTGCTGCACATGAATGCTGGAGATCTGAACTCGGGTCCTCTTGCTTCTGTGGCAGTACTTTACCCACTGACCTTCCTGTTAGAATTTTCACAGGGACTTGTTTATCAAAATGCTTATCATTACCATATTAGTAAAGGAACAGTGTTTTTTAGACTGACTATAGAACCCAGGCTGGCCTGAACCTTATTACGTAGACCTTGTAATAGAACTTTTAGATCTTGATATACATCCTGAATTTTCTCCAAATATATTCACATCTGGACAAATAACACATGGACTGAACCTTGGTGATTAACTTTCTACTAGCTCTGCATTCCAGACCATAGAGGTTAGAGCTGATGTCTAAGCTGTTGTATACTCTCTACCTGTGAAGTTTGGAATGAGTGGTGTCTCTAGAATTTTCTCCATTTGTCTGTGTCTGATTAAGAACTCCTGTAATTAATTCAGAGTTCTTTACCCCACCTGCCTTTAGCCTGTCAGTCTCGGAGTTTATACACTAACCATGAGTTAAATCTGCACAACAATAAGCAAAGAAAAAGTGAAGGTGTAAGTTTCCAACTAAGTGCTGATGTAAAACACTATGAAGTCACTTTTAGTCACTGTAATGGCTGGAAGATGGCTCCGTCAGTAAAAGCTCTTGTTTAACCATGAAGCCCCAAGTGTGGATCGCAGTATCCTTGTAAACTGTGGGTGAAGTCCCACACACCCTGCAACCCCAGCACTGAGGAGAGCAGAGACAGGAGGATTCCTGGGGCTTGCTGGCTGACAACCTGCTGAAAAACTGAAGCTCCAGGTCCAGGAAGAGACCCTGCCTCAAAGGAATAAGGTGGAGAGTGATAGAGCAAACCACACGGTCTCCTCTGGCATCGAATCTGTGGAAAGGAATGTGTACTTGTACACACATGGGTGCGTACACACAAGCATGCAACACACACACACACACTCACACAGCAATTAATAAAAGCCTTTCACTTAAAAAGTTAACATGGGGTCTGGAGAGTTGGCTTAGTGGTTAAGAGCACTAGGAGCTCTTGTGGAGGACCCTGGTTTCCAGCACTCACATGGCGGCTAACAGCTAACAACTTTTTCTTAACTCCAGTTCCACAGGATTTGATGCCATTTTCCGGCATCCATAAGACTTGCATGACACAGGTACACTTACTGATACACATGATAAAAATAAATGATAAAAAGGATATTTAATGCCATTATGGAAAGCCTGGCAGCAGAATGGTGGCAAGACAGTGCTGGGCCATTCCTGGTGGAGAAACAGACATGGTGCACAGCCACACAAAAGCCTCCTCACAGAGAACTAAAACTCAGAGAGATTTGAAGGCAAAGCTATCACTTCAGCAGGCAGATTTTGGTGATATCTAGTGAGGAAAGTGAGGGATGTGGGGGAAGATGTTAGAAATCTTGGTTGGCTACCAAGTTAAGTAGGTGTCCATGGAAATATCCCCAAGACATTAAATTATCACATCTGGATCAATGCATGCATTTGATTTACAGATTCAAAAATGAAACAATTCAAAATTGGTGCCTTACCTCATACAGAAATATTTATAATATACTGAAAGTAAATGTACAAAATTCAATGTCATGCTTACTCTTTTTTTTTTTTTGGTGTGGTCTTTTTGAGACAGGGTCTCCCTGTAGCCACAACTGTCCTGGAACTCACTATGTAGACTAGGCTGGCCTTGAACTCACAGAGATCCACCTGCCTCTGCCTCCTGAGTGCTGGGATTAAAGGCATGTGCCACCATGCCTGGCTGCTTATTCATTCTTATTGTTGGAATATTTTACCTTGAATATTACTCAATAAATTTTGGAGTTTGAAAAGGTAGCTGCAGACAGATGTGGTGTCTAGTCTTTAGTCAGCCTATCTGGAGTCTCTCCCTTAAAGAAGATCAACTCTCCCTCACCCAGCAGTAAGTAATCAGCTGCCAGAAGTTCTTTAAGGTTGGGGCCTGCTGCCCATTTCCCCAGTTCTATGCTGGGTTTTTGTCTGAGTTTGCATGGGTCTTGTGCATACTGACACCATTACTGAACAAGTTCCCAGAGTACTGGAAGATTGTTTCCTTATGACCATGTACCAACCCTGGCTCTTATAATCATTTGGCCCCCTCTTCTACAATGGTCTCTGAGTCATGAGTGGGTGAGGTTTAATATAGGAGTCCTATCCAGGGACACACTCTCTGTAGTCTCTTATTTTCTACACTTTGGCCAGTTGTGGCCTTCTGTGTGCATTGTGCTCTGTTGCATGAGAAGGCTTCATTGGTGAGAGTTGAGAGACGCATTAGTATTCTCTCTCTCCCATTATGTTCCATGAGTCTTAGGTATAGAGGTTCCATTGTGGATGTGTCACTTAGGGCTGGGCACCTCTTAGACACTTATTCTCTGTGTATGAGCAGTTGTGGAGTTCTATATTGAGACAGAGTCTTCCTGTAGCCCTAGCTCATCTGGAATTCACTATGTAGAACAGGCTGGATTCACTCTCACAGAGGTCCCCCTGCCCCTGCCTTCCAAGTTCTGGGATTAAAGGCATGTACCACTATACTCGGTTCCCTCATCACTTAAAAAAAATTTTTTTTTATTGAGCTTTCATACATTTCATACAACAAATCAAATGTAGACCCCTTCCCCATCCATGTCTGCTCCCCCAAGGGATCTTATGTAGTCCACTATACATATTAAGTCCTATCCAGTCAAGCATTTGTACCCAGATATTTTCAATCACCTCTTAAGGACATTAAAATCATCATTCTGGGCTTGCAAATAGAGCTTTCCTCATTATATCAAGGAACAGGACACACAGTCAATTCAATTACTTTTGAAGAGTATACATATTCAGAGTGTATATCTGCAGAACGTTGGCTTCATGAACTCTGGACAACACACGCACTATGCTCACATTATCGCATGTTGTGTGGTAGACAAGCCTGCCAAGAAAAAACAAATTCAGTAAACAAATGGGGAAGCAGGTGTATCTGCTGGCATTAAAATATGATCTGAAAAATATATACATTATTCTTTTATTTTTGCCCCTTAACCAAAATTCATTTAGAGCAACCTATATGTATGTAAATAGCCATTTTCCTAAAGAGGGCTGCTAATGTTCCAATTTTTTAAAATGTTGATTGTCATACATATTTAATAGAGCTAGATATTGATGGCAAACATTATTCTTGATTGATCTTTTAATCACATCCTAAATTGGTTTTAAGAAATTTTAACACTTATTTATGTGTGTGTGTCTGTGTGTGTGAGTACGTGCATGTATGTGCATGCACATACATCATGCTTGTGGAAGTCAGAGGACAGCCTGCTGAGGCAGAAAAACATTTATGAGTTTGAGGTTATGCTACATAGTGAGACCAAAAAAACCCCCCTAAACTAAACAAAACCCCCAGAAGATTTCAATTAAAAATTTATAAAATATTCTTTGAATATTCATGCTCTACTCAAAGTGAACATATCTAAAAAACCCACACATCCCTACTCACTAGGTAACATAGAAAGGGCAGGGCATAGTCATGTCAATCATTTTCATTCTGTATTAATGAGGTAGCACCTCTACCTTTTCTGTCAGTGACTCCTAGGTGTCGTGCACTAATCCAAGTCCACACCTCTCCTGCTCCCCACCTGGCCCTGCACACCCTCAGATGGAGCCCTGTCTCCTCTCCTCCTTTGCTCTAAGGAGAGTAGAAGTGGCACCAACCTCTTCCCACCAGGCATGTTGAGAACACAGCAGACACTCCCCAAGGCTGGGGTGGAGTTCATTGGGAGAGTTCATACTCTACGTGTGCAAGACCTGGATTCAATTCCCAGAACAGGACAAAATCTTCCCCAATTGGTAAATCTACAGATTTCAAAGCTGATCCAACCCAAACAGGGTGAACTCCAAAATTTCACACTAGATACACCAAATTAAATTTCTGAAAACTAAACAAAGAAAATAAGTTGAATTCAGAAAGAAAGTACATCTTCTCTATAGAATGACAGAGAGATGTGAATGGTGATGGATTTCCCAGCAGACATCAGAGATGTTAGAAGGAAGTGGTAGAGCATATTTCAAATGCTGAAGAAAGAGAAGTTAATATCAATAAAATCAAGAAATTAATATCCCAGAGTGACTGAGACACAGGTAAAAGGATCAGAAATTTGAGGTTGGCTGGGATACTGGATATCCTCTCTAAAACTGAACCAAACTAAACCGAGAGAGAGAGAGAGAGCTCTAAAACTGAACCAAACTAAACCGAGAGAGAGAGAGACAGAGAGAGAGAGCTCCCAGGGGTATCAGGAGAGAGTAGCCTCTGTCAAGCAGAGAATGTCAGGGGGTTTTACTGCACTGCTGTACAGTGCTGATCTGAATAACAGACCTCTTTATAAAAGAGATTTTTATTTTTAAGGACACTACTAATTTTAATTTTTATTTATTTATTTATTTAATGTGTATGAATGTTATGCCTGCATGTATGTAAGTGCACATATGCTGTGCAATGCCTGCAGAGAACAGAAGAGGGCATTGGATCCCCTAGAATTGGAGTTACAGATGATTGTTAGACACTGTATAGATTCTGGGAATCAAACCCAGGTCTTCTTGCAAGACAAGCCAGTGCTCTTAACCAATGAGCCATCTCTCTAGCCTCTATTTATTTATTTTTGAGACAGGGTCTCCCTGTAGCCTCAGCCTGGAGCTCACTATGTAGACCTGGCTGGCCTTGAACTCACAGAGATGCATCCCAAGTGTTGGGATTAAAGGTGTGTGCCGCTATGCTGGGCCCTAATTGATTTTTTGATAAAGTCTTCTTAGCACTACAGGTAAGGAATAGTCTCTCCAATAAGTAGTGTTTGGAAAACTAGTATCCATTTACAGAAGAGCTCAATAGTAACAACAAAATATCCCTAAATTAGGAAAATAAACACGTGTCATTAATAGACATTTCTTAATGGAAATGGTGATGTATATATGCAATTCCAGCACTTGGAAGGTTGGAGACAGGAGAATCAGGAGTTCAAGGCCAGCCTCAGCCAGATATTGAGTATAAGGCCAGACTAGGCTACATGGGACCCCGTGTCTAAACAACAACAGCAGCAGCAAGACCAAAGATATAAAAATGGCCAAGAAATTAATAAAAAATGTACAATATCTCACACCAGGGAAATATAAATTAAAACCAGAGTAAGATAGCACCTCCATTTGTTAGAATAGCTATTGTCAAACAGACAAAACAGAATAAACATCGGCAAGGGTGAGGGAGAAAAACAAATCTTGTACCCTGCTGTACAGTGTGCAATGTAAACTGCTGCAGTCACTTTGGATCACAGTGTGGAAATTGCTCAAAATACAACATCAGAACTGCCACAGCAACCCCACCTCTGGGTATATATTTAAAGGAGATAAGATCAGTATGTTAAAATGACTAGGCATATAATCCCAGTTTTTGAGAAGCTGAGTCAGGAAGATTATGAGTTCTGTTCTGGGTTACATAGTAAGTTCCAGAATGGCCTGGACTACAGCGCCACATCCTTTCTAAAAAACAAAACAAAACAAAACAAACAAACAAAACAAGATGCTGGAGAGATGGCTCAGCAGTTAAGCACATTTGTTGTTCTTGCAGAGGACCTGAGTTTGGTTCGTAGCACCCTCATGGCAGCTAACAACCATCCCTAACTCCAGTTCCAGGGGATCTAACATCCTCTTTTGGCTTACACAGGCATTGCATAACACGGGTGTATTACATACATGGAGACACTACATACACACACATAAGACAAAAATAAGTAAAAAAAAAATTAAACATAAAACCTTAAGGTGATACCTATATTCTTTATCTTACAAAACTTAATTCAAAGTGGACACAGAGCTAATTCTAAAACTAACAGCTAAGGTTGGTGAGGATGTAGTTCAGAGGGCTTGCCCAGCAGGCGCTGTGGGACAGAAGGATCAGAAGTTCAAAGTCACCTCATCTAGACATCAACTTTAGACCCTGTCTCAAAATAACATGTAACAGTAACATCTACAAAAAGTTTTGAGAAAAACTCTTAGGTGAATACATATAGAAACCCCAACTGTTCATAACAGTTTTATTTCTAATAATCTTGAATTGGAAACAGGATAAATGTCCTCATCCTTTATGAAACTCTGCACACTGGAACACTGCTCAGCCATGTAGAGGAGTGAACTATTGCTGCCCACAGCATGGCAGGTCTCAAAACACCACACTGAGGGCTGGAGAGATGGCTCAGTGGTTAAAGAGCTCTTGCAGAGGACCTGGGTTTGGTTCCCAACATTCACATAGTAGTTAACAACTGTTTGTAATTCCAGTTCCAGGGATCCCTCACCTTCTTCTGGCCTCCACAGGCATTCCACAACTTGGTGCACTTACACGCATGCAAGTAAAACACTCATTCACATACCCTCTTCCCCAGACATCATGCTCATTAAAAGAGGTCAGACAAGAAGGGATATATAGTCTCATTTCATTTATGCAAAAAATTAAAAACATAAACTAATTTAAAGGACAGAAGAAGATCATTGGTTGTTGTTGGAGACAGAAGGGAAAGGCTGCAGTGGGACAGAGGGGAGTGGGGTGACATTTTGTGGTTTGACTACGCTTCTGGTTATAGAACTTTGTGTTTTTGTCCAAAAGAATTGCATGTTAGAAAACTGTATTTCATCAGACTAAAATGGCCCTGTCTTATTGAAATATTCAGATGGAAAAAAGACTCAAAATTTGTACAGTATAGAAAGGGTAATTGGTTGAAATTTTTTGAAATGAAACAAGAATATGATACAGAGAGAAAAATGCAGGAAAGAGTGAGGCCAGTGTCATTGTATATTCAATTAAAACATTTTTGGACTCAGGAGTTGGAAAGCTGGTTAAGAATACTGGCTACTCATGCAGAGGACCCAGGTTTGGTTCTCAACACCCACATGGTGGCTAACATACATCCTAAACTCTAGTTGCAGGGGACCCGACTCCCTCTTCCTACCTCCTCAGTCACTGCACAACACATAGATGCAGGCAAAATACATAAACACATACAAATTAAAAAAATATTTTTGGGGCTGTAGAGATGACTCAGCAGTTAAGAGCCCTGACTTCCCTTTTGGAGGGCCCAGGTTCAATTTCAAGCACCCACATGGCAGCTAACAACTGTCTGTAAATTCCTGTTCCAGGAGATCTGACAACTTGTTCTGACCTCCACAGGCATTGCATGACATGGGTGCACTTTACATAGATACAGGTAAAACACTCATATACAGAAAATAAAAAAATCAAATTTCATAAAAAACAAGAAAAATTATTTTTGGCCTCAAAAACACTAGAAGTAACATATAGATATTTCTGTTTTGATTAATAAAAGCTCCATGATACTCCACTGTGTGAATATATAACATTAGTGAGTTAAAAATTTATATTAATTGTGCATCTTCACACATATGTGTATGCCATGGCATGCATGTGGAGGTCAGAGGACAACCTGTGTGAATCAGTTCTCGCCATCTACCATGTGGGTCCAAGGGATGGAAATCAGATTATTAGGGTTTGTGGCAAATACCCTTACCTGCTGAGTGATCCGATTTATTTATTTATTTATTTATTTATTTATTTATTTATTTATTTATTTATTTTTTGAGACAGGGTTTCCCTGTAGTCCCAGCTGTCCTGGAACTTGCTATGTAGACCAGGCTGGCCTCAAACTCAGAGAGATCTGCCTGCATCTGCCTTCCAAGTGCTGAGATTAAAGGCATGTGCCATCATGCCCAGCAGATCTCACTGATTCTTAAATGATCTTTAACATTTGGACAGCTAGGTGTTTCCAGCACCAGGCAGTGGCTAACAATGCCTCAATAAAGAGTGGATGTGTGGATTTCTTCCTTCCTCCCTTCCTCCCCCTTCCCTCCCTCCTTCTCTTCCTCCTTCCCTCCATGCCTGGCAGATTTCACTGATTCTTAAATAATCTTTGACATTTGGACAGCTAGGAGTTTCCAGCACTTGCACACCAGACTTGCACAGCAAGTACTTTTACCCACAGGAAAACACAGGGTCATGACCAGTGTGATGGCTCAGTGGGTAAAAGTACTTGCTGTGCAAGTCTGATGTACAAGTGCTGGAAACTCCTAGCTGTCCAAATGTCAAAGATCATTTAAGAATCAGTGAGATCTGCTAGGCAGATGCCTTTAATCCCAGCACTTGGGAGGCAGATGCAAGTGGATCTCTTTGAGTTCAAGGCTAGTCTGGTCTACATAGCAAGTTCCAGGACAACTGGGGCTTACAGGGAGACCCTGTCTCCTTCTTTACTAATCTTTTTTTTTTTTTTCGAGGCTGTGTTTCACATATCTTAGGCCGACTTTATTCAATAGCCAACTGAGGATGAACTTGAACTCCTTATTTTCCTGCTTCAACCTTCTCAGTGCTGGGATTACAGGCATGCACCACCACATCTGGTTTTATGTGGTCCTGGAAATCATAGATTTATTCACATGTATCCATAGGGACTCTCAAAAAGCTGTATTATTCTTCCACTCATTTTTACATAGAAATAAAAAACTTCAAGGTAAAGTGCTTACCAGGATGGTGACACACTCCTCATGTTTTCCAGATGACAACAGCTCTTGAGGTGACGGCCTCCCTCCTCCCACATGTACACACGCAGAGAACCATTCTTAGATGTGGAGAGGATATGGAGAGAATCCTTCAAAGGACACCCAGATGTGAGCGGACAGGAGTCAAGGTCACAAGAAAACACAGGGACGTGACCAGTGTGATGGCTCAGTGGGCAAAAGTACTTGCTGTGCAAGTCTGATGACATGAGCTAGATCCCAGGAACCCATGTAAAGGTGAAGGAGAGGACCTAGACCACAGCTTTGTGCACTGGCCTCCACATGTTCATCATGGCATGTGCACACACACACACTAATAAAGTTTTTAAAACCAAAAAATATCAGGAGGAGGGAATGCATCCCACATACCACCCATAAGTTCCTGATGTCTCTCTGGTGGTCCTCAAATCGATGCAGCTGGTGGCCATCAATGGTGTAGAGGAACAGAGATGGTCCATTCCCAAAGGCGATCACATTTGTATCACTGACTCCCATGAACTTTGGGTTTTTTATATGAGCTGGGATCAGGAAGTTTGCAATCTGCTGTGCTGTTTTCATACAAAACACATACATGTAAAAATGAAGACCATTTTAGAATAATTTAGTAAGAAGATTATTCTTTTTTTTTTGTTTCTTTTTTTGAGACAGGGTCTCTCTGTAGCCCCAGCTGGCCTGGAACTCACTATGTAGACCAGGCTGGCTTTGATCTTACAGAGATCTGCCCGCCTCTGACTCTCAAATGCTGGGAATAAAAGTGTGTGCCACCACGCCCAGCCAAGATCAGCATACAATCTTTTTAAAATAAAAAAAATTAAATTTTATTTTGTGTATGGGTGTACTGCCTGCATGCATTTAAGTACACCTGTGTTATGCAATGCCTGTGGAGGTCTGAAGAGGGTGTTGGATTCCCTGAAACTGCAGTTAAGAATGGTTGTTAGCTGCCATATAGGTGCTGGGAACCTAACTTGGGTCCTCTGCAAGAGCAGCCAGTGCTCTTAATGGCTGGGCCAGCTCTCCAGCCCCCCAAAACAATATTGAGTGAAAACAGACTCTCTACTTCCATGGGATTCCAGTCTATCTGGACAATGAAGACAGTCCAGGGTTGTGACAAATCCATGTCATTGACTATGGTAAGGTGTGCTATGACACAGGAATGCTGTGGACCATCAGTAGCAGCTGGAACATTGGAAAGATGCCTATATTGGGAAAGGACATTGGAAGCTAGGCCCTTAGATATGATGCCATTGAAACATGTCTGCCCAAGGGAGCAGGGTGGAGTGTAGTGATCACTTGACTATGAGCATCAAATAGGCACAGGATCACACCCAGCTAGGAGCCACTCTGCTCACTTTATAAACACTGACCTATATACATATGTTTATAGCTTAATGTGAGTGTCTGTGGGCTAGGGAGCCAGGTTTTTTTTTTTTTTTTTTTTTTTAGTCTTTTTGAGACAGGGTCTCCCTGTAGCCCCAGCTGTCCTGGATTCACCATGGAGACCAGACTGGCCTCGAACTCACAGAGATCCACCTGCCTCTGCCTCCCAAGTGCTGGGATTAAAGGCATGCACCACCATGCCTGGCTGGAGCCAATGTTTAAGAAATACTTTTTGCATTTATTAATTTATTTTGTGTGTGTGTGTGTGTGTGTGTGATGGAGCATATGACACAGCATGCATGTAGAGGCCAGAGGACAACTTTCACAAGTTGGTTTCCTTCTTTGGTCATGTGCTCCCCAGGGAATTGAACTCAGGCTGCTGGGCTTGATGGTAAGTGTCCCTACCCACTGAGAAACCTTGCTGGTCCCAAAATTATAAAGTTCTTTATTGTTTCTGTTTTTAAAATTTTATCAGTTCTTACTGTGTGTGCATATGCTGAGACATGTCTCCAGCCCCATCTTTTAGACTTTTTGAAACAAGGTCCTGCTATATTTCCCCAGTTGGTCTCAAACTTATGATCTTCCTGCTTTGGCCAACTGAGTTCCAGGATTATAGGTACAACCCCATGCCTGGCTTGAGCAAGTAGTTCTAAGGTATCTAGACCCACCTGTGACAACTTCTTTGCCTCCAATATTCACCAGTCCTAGATCAAAGGTGATAAATTCTGTGATTTTGTGGGAAGCTTTCTGGCACATCACTATTATTCTGTTTTCTGTCCTTGGGGTCCAGTAGGCTCCGTAGCAAAACTCAAATTGGAGAGAGACATACAGAAGGGAGCTGTACTTTGATGGGCTCAGTAAACACTCCATTAGATAGACCTGTGGAGAGAGTACTACATGTGGATTTGGTGAAGATTGACATCAGCCTGGCATACGAGTGACTCCAGGCAATTGTTCTTAGGAATGAATCCTTGTGTGGCCGGCTCTGTCCTTTGTCCCAGGGAGGGCTGAGCAGTCACTGCTTCCTCTTGATGCGTAAGTCAGTATTCCTGCCCATCAAATATTCACAGATAGAATGGATCCCTGACGGAGACCACAGGGTCACATAGTCATTCTGCCACATGGGACTCATCAGACTGAAGTTGTTTGGTTTGAGACTGGGTCTCACTGTGTAGCCCAGGCTGGCCTTGAACTCAGATCAGTCTTCTGGCTGCTAGCCTCCTCACTCCCCACTATCCCGATATCCAACCCTGCAGTGGTGGGATTATAGACCTGTGCTTCCACACCCAGCATTTTTTTTTTTTTAACCGTTTCAACCGCTTGTTCTCTGGTGCCCAGTGTATAGGTACCATGAGGCAGATTACCTACTCAGAGGCCGAGGACTTCCTCAGGGCTGATGCATATTTATTTACTTTTTAATTTAATTTAATTTTATGTGTATGAGTGTTATGCCTGCATGTAAGTGCACCCGTATGGTACAGATGTGGAGGTCAGAAGAGGGCATCAGATCCCCTGGAACTGGAAATACAGATGGATAGTTGTTAGCTGTCATGTGGGTGCTAGGAGCTGAACCTGGGTCTTCTACAAGAGCAGCCAGTGCTCTTAACTGCTGAGCCTGAGACATCTCTTCAACTCCTCACTTTTTTTTTCATTATGTTTTTTGAGACAGGGTCTCCCTGTTGCTCCACCTGGCCTGGAATTCTCACTGTGTTGACCAGGCTGGCCTCAGCCTCACAGAGATCTGCCTACCCCTGCCTCATGAGTGCTGAGATTAAAGGCAGGCACCACCATGTTCAGTGGAACCCTCCCTTCTTGATACCTCTCTCACCCTCCTTCATCCTTTCTCTGCCTGGGCTAGCCTTCACAAACACATTAATAAACATCTGCCTTTGTGACTGGACATGACTGTCTCCAGAGCATTGTATCCTGACTTTAGGAAGGGCTTCTGCTTGTGATAGAGTCTTAGAGGACAGGGAGCAGGATGCCTGGCCCTCCTTGAGGTCTGGAGCTCCTCAGACTCTTTCTAACTTGCCCCTCCCATCCAGAAGTTGAAGTTCCCAGAACAGCACCTACCTTTGGGAAGACACATAGACGCATGTTACATGCTAAGACCCATTTATTTTCAGGAGAACAGTACAGGAGTTCAACATCATATGCAAATGCTTTTACTGTAGAAAGATACCATAACTCGGGCAACATAAATGTGTAGATGTGACCCTCACAATCGCCCACCTGAAATCAAAGCATCAGCACCTATCAGTAAAAAACACATGAAATCTTAAAGTACCAAGGAGGCAGGTAGCACTGTCAGCTCTGAGATACTGAACCATTTCTTCACTCACATAATTGTCAACTAAATCTCTGCCCTGCTTGCCCCTCAGATGGTTGGGATGATCCCATGGAATAAGACTTTCTAGCACTGGGGAACTGGAGAGGTGCTCAGCACTTAACAGCACTGGTTACTGTTCTAGAGGACTCAGGTTCATTTCCCAGCACCCACATAGTGGCTAACAAACAGCAATAACTCTAATTCTTGGGAAACTAGCCCCTACTTCTGGTGTCCTCAGGCATAGAGCACACATGGTGAATTTACATAGATGCAGGCAAAACACTCATACACATAAACTAAAAATGAAGAAAAATATTTAAAAAGACTTTCTAGGGCTGGAGAGATGGCTCTGTGACTCAGAACTTGTGTAGAGGACCTGAGTATGTTTTCTAGCACCATGCTTACAGCCATCTGTAGCTGCAGCTCCAGGGGATATGAAGCCTCCTTCTGGACTCAGTGGGTATCTGCTCTCAAATATGTACACATACACACACACACACACACACAAACACACACACATGCACATGCACACACGCACACACACACAGAGATAAACATTTAAAATAAATTTTACAAAATGCCTTTTTTGAAAGGACTTTTCTAAAGGTTCCACTGGGACATTGACACTATCAAAATTCACATCTTTCCATTGACCCTGTCCAAGTTCAAGGACTCAACAACAAAAAACACATGAAAGACCCAACATAGATAGGAAATAATTCAGGAAATGTTATGTGTGTTCATGTGTGTGTAAGTGCAAGTGTCTGTGGTGTGTATGTGTGTAGTACATTCAAACGTATATATGTAGGCATGAGTGCTTGTGCACACATGGAGCCAGAGGAAGAGGTCAGGTGTCCACTCCTGTTCGTTCTACCTTATTCCCTTAAGACAGAATCTCTCATTCTGGAGCTAGGCTGGCTGCCAGCAAGCCCACTGGATCCTTTTGTCTGGGAGCACTACATCTCTGGGCTTATAGACACATGCAGCCACATCTTACTATTTACCTTGGTGCAAGGGATTAGAATTCAGGTCCTCATGATTACTCAACAAACACTCTTACCAACTGAGCCATCTCTTCAGCCTCCAGGAAGTTGTTTTTTTTTTTCAGATGAATTTTGGGGAAATATAGGTGAGATATGTCAAAGGCCAAGGTTGTATGGAAGTTTCTACAGCCAACATTCTTTGGTATATTGTAATTGACTCTCCAGTAAGGATGACTGCATGATGACTGATTGAGACAGGACAGCAATAGGTCCCCTAGGGAGTAGGCATTTTGCTCTGTGTACCTACTCCAGATTCTGGGTCACTTACCATCAGGAATGGGACATTCTTTGCAACAAAAGCTTTCAAAGTATAACATCCTTGGGGGATGGTTAGAGTAGTCAGAGAGTTCCTATCTCGACAGTTCCACACTTTGAGGGTTCTTTGCATGTCTAGAGTGATGGCGAGCTGCATCTCAGGGAGGGTAGCCAGATTGATGATGATGCTCTCCTGGACTGGGCTTGACCAGATCTTAACACCCTAGGGAATAAGAGCAGCAATTGTGTTCAAGGATCTCTGCATATCCACTGTGTTCATCCCACAGCTTTATTGGGAAGCCTCTTCCAAATTGGAGTCACTTCTTGTTTATAAGAAAACAGCATGAAACTTCTAAGCATCTTTAGCCAGGTATGGAAATATATGCCTGTCATCCCAGCACAGGGAGGCCACAGGAGGATCACTGCATGTTTGAGGCCAGCTTTGTCTACATATCAAGTTTCAGGCCAGTCAGAGCTATATCACATGACCTTTTCTAAAAAATAAGAATACTGGAAAAATTCAAACATCTTGATTATTTAGGGGGAGTGAGCATGAAAACAGGATCTATACATTATGCCCAGAGGCAGGAACTCACTACGTAGAACATAAAGAATAGGGCTGGCAAGGTGGCTGAACGAATAAGGTGCTTGCCACCAAGCCTGATGACCAGAGTTCAATGCCTGGGACCCACATGGTAGAAGGAGAGAATCAACTCTGTAAGTGGTCCTCTGACCTCCACACTTGTACTGTCCCATGTGTGTACTAACACACACACACACACACACACACACACACACGCATGCACGCAGACACTTATACACAATAAATAAAAGTAATTAAAAATTTTTAGGAGAAAAATTAGACTTCCTCAGTTAAAATCATTGACACCTTTTCCTATCAGCAGCATCCAGCAAGTTACTCTCCTGGCTACTTTGGGGCTAGCATTACATTTTATAAGAGATGAAACCCACTGAAATATATCAATATCAGGAAAATTGTTACTCTACCATCAAGTCTTCTACATTGTAAACTATACAGATGAAGTAGTTTCTCTTGTAGACTTTCCTTTAGCACCTTTAAACTGTGAGGTGTGTCAGGTGGAAACCAGAAGAGCATAAACGTAAATGTGAATCTAGGAAAATATTAGACTATTAAAATGCCCATTTCTAAGTCCTAACTCCAGTGATTTATTAATGTTTAGTGTGTATGATTGCTATGCCTGTATATATAATAAGGGCTCCTGAGTCATGCAATGCCCTCAGAGGCCAGAAGAGGGCATTGAACCCTCTGGAACTGGAATTATGGAAGGTTGTTAGGTGCCATGTGGATGTTGGGACTGAACCCTGGTCCTCGGGAAGAGCAGCCAGTGCTCTTAACTGCTGAGTCAGCTCTCCAGGCCTCTAATTCCTTTTAAAAAGTATTTTCATGCTTTATTAAAGTGTTTCTGTGTCCGTGTGTGTGTGTGTGTGTGTGTGTGTGTGTGTGTGTGTATGTCAAGTGTGTGCAGGTGTCCATGAAACTAGAAGAGGGCATCAGATCCCCTGGAGCTGCAGATGCAAACAGTAGTAAACCATTGGATGTGGATGTTGGGAACTGAGTTCTGGTCTTCTGGAAGAGCAGTAAGTACTCCTAAGTGCTGAGCTCTGAGGCACCTTCTTAGCCACAGCCTCTCCTCCATATGCATGGGATCTGTGAAAAGCCCACATCCCCCTCATGTACTCTCTCCTTGGAGTCAATCACTCTTTTCCTCAATCATCCCCAAGTTCAGTGCCTAAACACAGATTTTGGTTATGTCCAATCTTCTCTCCTGGCTCTAGGTCTCATGATGGTGAAGTCAAATTTGACTTTGAAGGTATCTTTCTCAGCCTGGTGTGGTGACTCAAGCCAGTAATCCCAGCACTTGGGAAGTAGAGGCAGAAGGATTGCTACAAGTTTGAGGTCGGTCTCGGTTACAGAGTGAGCTGGAGATAGTTTGAGATTCTATCTCAAACAAACAAAGCCTCAAAAGAAAGCACAACACCCCAACCCCTAAAATATTCCATTCACTGGGTGCATTTTCAATGTACCGTGAGTGACAATGCTACTCAGCATGTGTGAGACTCTGTCTTCAACAGCAACAACCATGACCAGCAAGGGAGGACTGTCATTCTGTCATTATATAACAGGCTCTTTTATCTCTTTGTAAAAAGAAATATAAGTCCTTGAAAAAACAGACAGCAAGGAAGAGAGATGCATTGAGGTATCTATCATTCACCTCCTCCTTCACAAAATATATCCCAAACAAGTCTATAGCTGCATCTTAAGATGAGTGACTGCAGAGCACTGGATTCAATAGCAGAAAATGGAAACCTTGTAAAATTTAAAGAACTGGAGGGACATAGTAATAGAAACAGTAATACTGTCACCAGCCACCATGTACCCCAGTCAGAAGTGGGCCAGTCTTCCTTCCACAGGGGTAAGGAATTCACTTCATCTCCTAGAGAGCCCATGAGGTACTGTGACCAGGAGCCATACTGAGAAAAAAGATACTGTCTGCTTTTAGACTGCTCTGGAGTCAGAGTGCCTGCACAGTCCCATGTCTGGGACCCCACAGACATTCTACTGCAGTGGCTCAGCAGGCAGTCAGAGCACACAGGAGTAACTTTTACATAAGCCCCATGGGAATGCTACATGGTAGGGAACTGGTGTCACAATGCTGAGGTAAACAGTGGGTACCACCCTCAGGAACCACATGCAGAACCAGTCACGTGTGGCTTCCAGTACATGTCAGGATGAAGAACAGTGTTCTGAGTGGTTCCACTGCCCCTCTATCAGACCTAAATGTGGGCTCCTGTCTCTAACAATACAGATAGTCCTTGCGCACTTACAGGGGTTCTGGGGCCTGTTCAAGCAGTGCTACACAGCTCCAGCTCACCTTCCACCTCTGAGGTATACTGCCTAAGAAGGTCCTCAGACAAATGATACCCGGGGCCATGCCATATTCTCTTCTCTTTTGCTCTGGGGATAAGATGTCTGGCTGGCACTACAATGGAAAGAATCATGGGGAGCCAAGCCTGTGACAATGGTCCCTTCCCAGGAAAGCACAGCTCCTCTCCCAGGCAGGCACACGATAGCAGTAGCAGACAGAAATCTCACATCTTTTACTTCTACTGCACCTATGTGGTTCCCCTGCATTGGTCATGACCACATCTTGTCATATGCTGCTGATGAGCCTGGGTGTGAGTACCATGGGGATACTCTGTAAAGCCGGGAAGAAATGGACCGATTTCTGAGTGTAGATGACCTACTAAAATTGAATCAAAAGCTTTAAAAAACTTTTGGATCAATTACACAGATGACTGAATAACAAAAAGTCTCTCAAGACAAACCTCACCATTAAAGACTGACTCTAGGGTGAAAGGGTGGAAAAAGGTGTTCCAAGCAGACGGAGCTAGGAAACAAGCAGGTGTTGCTGCTCTAATGTCAGACAATACAGACTTCAAAGCACAACTAGCCAGAGAGTTGAAGGTTGTTTCAAACTGATGAAGGGGACAATCCATCCAGAGGACATTACAATACTAAACATTTATGCACCAAATCAACTCAATTTCGTAAAACAAATACTAGATTAAATATATATTAATCTCACTACAACAGTAGTGGGTGACAATATCCTACTTATACCAATTTGGAGATCATCCCAAGCATAAATTAACAGAGAAATACCTGAGTTAAGTGACATTCTAGATCAAATGGCCTTACCAGACATTGACAGAACAGTCCATCCAAATAATGTAGAATGCACATTGTATAGTCTGAGATAATTCCACATATTCTACCTGATAATAATGGACTACACCTAGGAAGCAGCAAGAACAGGGATTCTAGAAGATGCACAAACTCATGAGATCAAGCAACACATCACTGAATGAACAGGTCATTGTAGAAACCAAGAAGGAATTAAAAATCCCTAGAATTGAATGAAAAAGAAAACACAATCTATGAAAACCCCTTTATATCCCTTTATAGAACTTTGTATCTCTAAGTGCCTGCATTAAGAAATTAGAGAATGGAGCTGGAGGAGGCTCCAGCTCAGAGGCTAAGAGCACTTACTGTCTTCCAGAGGACCCAGGTTTGTTCCCATCATCCACATGGTGGTTCACAACTAGCTTTTGTGGGCACTGCCTCCATGTGCTGCACCTACATGCATGTGGCTGAAACACTCAAACATTCAAAAAAAAAAGAAATCAGAGAAGCCGAGTGTTAATTCTAACACTTGGGAGGCAGAGGTAGGTGGATCTCTGCGAGTTCAAGGCTGCTGTGGTCTACACAATTTCTAGGACCACCAGTGCTACACAGGAAGACCCTGTCTCAACAAACAACAACAAGAAGAAAATCAACAAAGAAAACAGAAGTACCTTACACAAATAACTTGGTGACACACCTGACAAAAGAACAAGCCAAACTCAGAATCAATAGAAAGAAATAAAACATTACTACTCGGGCTAGCGAGATGGCTCAGCAGGTAAAGGTACTTGTCACCAAGCTAGGTCACCTGAGTTCAATCAACCTGAATCTGATTCCTGGGACCTACGTGGTGGAAGCAGAAAACTGACTCTTGAAAGTTGTTCTCCGACCTTCCGACCTGTGACCATGCACAAAAGTAAACAAACAAACTAGATACATAAATGTCATTTATTAAAAAAGATTGGGTTAGGCATGAATGATTGGCAAACAAAAAAGCCTAATGAATCAAAAATTTGTTCTTTGGAAAGATAAACAGGACTGATAAATTCTTAGCCAAACTAACCAAAAGAAAGAACAAGAAGATCCAAAGTAATAAACTTAAATAAGAGAAGAACCATTACAACAACCATCAATGAGATTCAGGAACTCATAGGTCACACCTTAACAAAACATATTCAACTAGAGAATAAAAGAACTGGATGGATTTTCATATCAGCTACCAAAATTAAGGCAAGATAACTATTTAAATAGCTCTATTACAAGCAGTGAGACTGGAGCGGCAGAAAAAAAATCTTAGACTAGGAGATGGTTCTGCAGGGAAGTACTTGCCAATAGAATGTGAGAACCAAAGTTCAGGTCCTGGCCCCAGTGTAAATGTGAAGTGGGCACGGTGGTCTGCTGTGGTTTGACAAACAGACATGTTATTTAAAATTTTTATTTATTATTTTTATTTTATGTGTATGAGTGTATTGCCTGCATGTATGTAAGTACACCTG